TAAGAGGCACACCCTAAGCCGCAGACGATTGTAGAAAAGTTCTTGCACGCCACATACGCCATTTTCTGCCTAAAGGCACCAGCCATTCGACAGCTATTCGCTGGTTTTATTTTTCCAGACAATGGGAAGGATTACAACTTGTTTTAATCTTAATATATGGGCAGGTTTTTACATTGTCTAAACAACGAGGCATACCCCCAGCTTCCTTCATTTCACTTACCGCCAAGACACATCGTCAGCCGCATGCCCTTGAGCCGCTTTGCCCGTGCATATCACTGCGGCTCGTTCTTGCACCAGTACCACCAATGCCTGCTACTATTGCCTGCTACGCAGCACTCTGCTTCCCCTGCACACGCAGAAAGCAACACAATCAGGCAAACTCACGCACAAAGTCTAGTTGCTGCAGACAACAGATGCGATGTCCCACTAAATGTTCTGGGCAACGCGTACTGCAGGAGAAGAAGGTTATACCTTGGCTCCAGCATGTAGTAGCAAGCGAGAATGGACAGAGACACACACAATGGGGGACAAATTGGGATGCGGGGATTCCCTACTTCTCAAAAAGGAAGCTTCGTGGTGCGTCTTTGTCCACCGTTCTTTCGTTGCTTTTTCCTGGAGATTGCTGATGTCTCATTACTGGCGAGAGGGGACACAGGCAATCCCTTGGGACGGGGATCCCCAGCTAGAGCGCAGCCGTGATTCCTGTCGCTCGATAAAGGGATTCCTTGAAACCCTGTCAGCCTCCATCTGCGTGCGGCGCAGTATTTGTTCTTCTTTACACAACTCTCAACCTTAATTTTCGCTTCGCGAAGTCGTGACAAACTAGGCCTACCGGTAGAGAAGAGTTCATTCTGATCAAATGTCCCTTGAAAGCGTGACATTCTGCGCAAGAGTAGCGCACAAAGTCTATGTTTAAGGGGTCCGGTAGCCACTAATCTGTGAATGGTTCAACAGGAGTGGTCAGAACCTTGGTTGCCCACAAGGAATTCGCGAAACTCTTCAAAAACATCGAAATTGCTTCGAACAGTTGCGCCAAGCTGCATGTATAGATGAGCATTTGGGGAAATCCCGCAACATATAGATAAAAAAAGAGACTCTAAGAAGTATA